TGTTCTAGAAACAGTGACATCCCACAGCATAAGCACAACTAACATCTAGATGTTGGCTTCTAAATACTGTTCTCCAATAAAAGGAATTAGGGCTCCCTGTATAAGTGGTTGATTCCAGGCTTAGGGTAGGGGAGTTACAAGTGGATCCTAGAGCATCTTTATTGCCAGACAGTAAGGAAGTATTAAAAACAATGTGGGAGAATGTTGAAAGGACGTAAGAGCCAACTTGAAGGAGCTTCCCATAGCCAAATCTAGGACAATTTGAGCAACATGATAAAAAGAATAGTAAAGACTAATAACCTACAGAATAAAATAAATATCCATGGGTTTATCCTGAAGCAGGGGAGAAAAGACAGCTCTTCCTTACAATAGAATACCAATTAATAAATGTACAACAAATGATAGAAATAGAAAAATTAGCATTAGGCAAATACCACAATAATGTAATAAATGTTACATGCAGGTGGCTTCTTGGCCACAGCCAGCTACCCTGAGGGAGTGACTATTTAGACCTGTGGACTCAGGACCATGGTCACAGGGGACATCAAGCTCAATTGGCATAACATACTATACAAAAACATCGTCTTACATCCTACTTTGGTGAGTAGCAACTGGGGTCTTGAAAGCTTGCAAGTGCCCATCTAGATGCAACAATAGGTCTCTCCTCGTGCAGAGCAAAGAAGAATGAAGAAAACCAAAGACATATGGAAACAATTAGTCCAATGGACTAGTAGACCATGCAATCTTCAACTGATATGACCATGAGGTCAGAAGAACTAGATGGTGACTAGTTACCACTGTCAACCACTCGGAAAGGAATCAGTGCAGAAGATACTGGATAGAGTGGGAGAACAACGTGGAACAAAACTTAAAAGCAAAAACAAAAGACTAGGTTTACTGGTCTGATAGAGCCTGGTGAAAACCCTGAGACTATGGCCCCTTAGTTAGGGGGTCTGGAATTGAACTCCTATGGCTTCCAGACAAACAACAGGCATATGGGGTGAACAGTTACATCAGGCAGATACACTCCTTGGAGCAATCAATCATGGGAGAACAGAAGGGTAGTGTTTGCACAGGGACACAGCTCAGGGAGGCAGGAGTACATGGGAGGGAAGAGGTAACTACAGGGAGGAAGTGGGACAAGAGCTGTTACATTGTGGGGAACTGCAGTCAATGTCATGAAACATGAATCTGCTCTATAAACTTTCACCCAGATCA